ACCCGCCCCTTTAAACGTCTCTGCACGGCCCTGATGCTGAGATACACATGTACAACACATACAGCAGCTTTTAGTGCGAACAGCCAGCAGGTGGCGCGCTCTGCGCGGTCTTGCTTGAGTCCCCGTTCAAGCTCATTCTGTTTAACCTTGGGACTGCAGGTTCCTTTCGTTGATTTGCTTCTGTGTTGGTTGCGTTCTCGCTCCGGCTCTATTCACATAGTTGTTTTACATTGTTTGTTCTCATCTTGACCAGTTTCTCTAAGGTTACGTTCCAGAAATTCATGTTTTGTGTTTGCATATTGATAATAAATTGCTGGAACAAACACACCTTTACTTTTTTCATATTTTTCTTTGCTATTCAAACTGGGTTTAAAACTGGGTATCTTACAAGACATAAGCATCTTCAGCCGTACAGCTGTCTTTCGCTTTTGTGACAAGTAGAACTGCTGTTTGCGAAATCGAAATACAAGTAGATAAACGGCCTTTTATACTGTGTTTTTTGGGAGTGAAACGCTGGCGGTGTTTTTGCCATGTCTTTGCCAGTAAAGCGGGTTGACTTATTATGCAATATGAAAATTTTCTGTACACTGGGGAAACACGTAACCATCGCCGGGCCGTGCCCTGTCTATGTCGGTGTTGAGGAACAACCTCTGGAAAATTTTTGTTTTTTTTTTAAGTTTACTGTAAAAGTGAAACTTACCAAACAATTTCAGTTACATTCATCATGAACTGGGTGGGTTTCCCGAAGGCTTCGTAACGCTATGTAGTTCGTTATCTAGCACTTAAGATCGATCGTTAATTAGCTAGTGTTTCCTTGCGGCCCTGTCAAAAATACGGAGATCAAACTAGATGACAAAACCATATTGACGGTCTTTTTTGGACAACGTAATAAAGCTGATGATATAATAAGAGGTCAATATTGCAGTTTAAAACTATAACGTCGACTATAAAATATTGCAAATGAGGCTCATTGTTGTAACATCTGTATGAAATTTGAGGGGATGTGCACCATTCAGAACTTACTCGAGAATGACCCTAAAAAGTTAATTCAATTCATAAAATTGACTGAAAACAGGGTGCAGAATTGCAAGTCTAATTTGAATATAATGAATAATTAAAATGGACTTGATTTCACATAAATTCATATACATGGTGGAAGTGCAGGTTTAACAATACAGATACATATTTTAATATGAGTTACAGAGCATGTTAAAATAAACAGCATATACTGAACCCCACCATGCCGCCCCTCCCGGCCCCCACGCGATCACAAATATTTACGGAGGCAATTAGTAACCGTCGGCCACGCCCCCTTCCATAAAAGTCTGTGCATGTCACTATTATTCAAAATGAATGCCACACTAGAAGTGTCACCTATAAAATAAATAATTTAACTGTCATTTTGTGTACCGTGGTGAAAGAGCACTTCATACACTCATACAAGTAGCCCTATCACAACCCTGTCCATCTGACAAAGCTTAAGGACTCATAAGAAAAGACTCCTCACAAATGGTAACACACATAAACAGTTACATATGCAAAAACAATAAATATATGCACATGGAAAAGGACTTAGAGGGCTGATATAAACCAAATGTTAGAACAGGCTAAAACAATTAGACAATTTTTATCTTACAGTTATAAAAATATATAGTTCAATCATTAGTACATATTTTAGGTCAATATATACTTCTACCAATCTTGGAAGTAAATCTGTTATGTAATTTGTTTTGCTAGATTAAATTACATTCATATATTGTATGATTGCATTGAATTGAAATTAATTAATTTCTTCTTACTCTCATTCCAATTCAGCACCTTACAGGGCGTGGCCAAGTCAATACAAAATCCACTTGATGAATGGAATGGGGTACAATTCATACATTCTGAACTCCCTTGTAGGCTACATAATAAGCAAAGCAATCAGACTTGCTATGCGTTCAGTCGCATCTTTAGAATGGGGACGGTGAATCACCCCTCACCACAAGCAATGGCAGAGAATTGTGCGAGTCAACTGAAGGAAATCGAGTTGCTTGTCTAAATGCTGTTTTGCCATGAACCCCATGGACTATCTAAGTAATGAACAATTCATAGAGAAATACAGGCTGGCCTGAGGTGAAATAATGAGCCTCCTTGTTCTGGTGCAGGATAAATTGAAAAGAGGAACACAGGAATTTTGCCCTCAGTGCACCGTGCAGCTTCTGACAGCTCTCTGCTTCTACACCACTGGTGCATTCTTGCAGACCTACAGATGCACATGACCTCAGCAAGGCTGCGGTCTCCAGCATCTGTGCATCGATCACATTTCTGTTGCACTATGGGCACAGCTACATATACTGTCCAGCAGGAGGGGATGCCTTGCATGACACTAAAACTGGTTTTCATGCAATTGCAGGTGTAGTGGATGGAACTCCCATCAACCCTTGAATCCCACCTGCACCTATTCTTGCCACGAGTCCTAAACATCCAGGTGATATGCAACCAGCAAGGACATTTTACAGACAAATGATGCTTATATCTGGTCCAGCTTTGGAGTTTGTCAGATGGAAATGGATGGTGGGTTTGCTCGTGGATGGTTATTGGGGGACAGTTTAGTGAATATCTGCTGATTCCAGTGCTGAATCCCCAAACCATGGCTGAGGAGAGGAATAACACCAGACACCAAAGAACACACACTGCTGTAGAAGGTGCTTTGGGCATGTGGAAGATGCGATTCTGGTGCCTAAGCAAGTCATTGGGAGCTGTAAGATTTTCCCCTGAATGCTGCTGGGCTGTTCTTGTTGTGTATAGTATGCTGTACAACAATGCAATAATTATTTTATCAAAATATGTTTTTGATCACCTCCTCAAAAAGTTGTTTTAAGGCTTCTTTTGAGAAGTATTACTTCCTTTTCCTATTGCTGCTCACCATTGCAGGAAGAAATTTTGAGCCCATTATTGTATTTTCAACAAATAGATTGATTAATTGTGGTTTTAATTATGGTTGGTTTGCTTTTATTGGTTTATTAATTAGTTAATTTTTTTTACATTTGCATATGTCTGGTGTGATAATCATGTAACATTTCACCACTGAAGTACATGGAATTGATTTTCCTGTTGTTGGCGGTCTGTGCTTTTCTCTCGCGGCTGGGGATGAACCAACAAAGCACTACTTAAAGTTCATTCGTTAATTCTGGAATAACTTTTTGAAAACGCCCACATACCTCACTCGTACTTTACTTATGCGGTTCGTTATCTTGTTCGTTATTCGCTAAGATCGACTGCTTTCGGGAAAGCCACCCCTGGTCAATTTCTAAATCACACCATGAGCACAAACCAACGATCTAATGATGCCAGCCATGTGTCTCTGTTACAAGCACCAGCAGTCAAGGAAACAAAACAAATATACCTAATTAAAGACAAATTAAACACCCGTTCAACTTCAAAACATGACCGAAATGGGAAATCCCGACATCAATAAAAAAGAATCACGTGCCACTGAAAGCCCTCCACCTTTTGGCTCAGATAGACAAACTGTTGAGAGCTGATAAACGCCGCTGGTTCTATAAGATAATATTATAATTATTTACACTTATTTAATTGTTTCATGGCCCTGTGGTGGACTGGCGACCTGCCCAGGGTGTACCCCGCCTCTCGCCCGAAGATGCTGGGATTGGCTCCAGCTTCCCCGCGACCCAGGTGGAGTTAAGTGGTATAGATGGATGGATGGATGGATGAATAATTGTTTCATGATATAAAAAATCCATTAGCCTATTTATTGCATTACTACACAAAATTAAGCAGTATTAAACAATGAACTATTTATCTATTTCTTTATTGCCATCGTTTGTGACTTTATATTAGCAGCCGTGACAGTGGGGCTTTGCTCGCTGACACACATGCAACCAAAAACAGAAAGACATTGCAGTGTCTGGTAATAAGCCTAGTCATATTCCAGATCCCACTAATTTAGATTGCTTATATCGATTTTTAAATGTTTACTAATTTAGATGTCAGATATTTGCATTTTTAAGTATTATTATTATTTATTTAGCAGATCAAACACATAATTAAAATTCAAACCCCTAAACAGATGGATAACATACGTACAGGATATGGAAAGAGTATACTCTCATTTGAATATTTGGCAATTACTTGCATAAATCTATTTCCTCATTTTTCGATAACTGTCTTTATTGATCCATTAGTGGTGAGGGATGCATACATTTAATTCCTCCAAATTTAATAGGATTAAACTCCCTTATTTATCGTTTTTAAAATGTACTTCCCTTTGTGTGATGCGTGAGTACACAGGATGTGTGCGAGCCTCACAATTCAGAGATGTTTACTATAGTGCTGCTGACTTTGCCGTAAAGAGCAGCAGCGTTCGATAAATTAACGCGCAATTTCACAGCTGTATCCTTCTATAGGATCTAGAAAAGACTGACAAAGGGTAGGTATCCTTTACACAGTTTTAAATCTCTTCATTTTAGTCTGTGGTTTTATGCTGCTTCTGTTACTATAATTATGTTTTTGAAAGGAAATTAAAAATGCACAAGGAAAAATGCCCCACTACGTACTGCCCCGTACTTCATGTATCATCTTTTGTCTGTATTAGGCATGCAGAGAAATGCAAACTAACTCTTAAACGGCAAATAGCTAGTTCTGATTGCAATGCCGTTAATTGTGTCTTAAATGCTTTGTATTATATTCGATCTACATTTTAAATAATGTTATAGGCCTATTTATAAATTAAATTATAAAGTAATGTTTTATGGAGTTTATTTGGTGCTTTAATTTCGCTATATATAAAACAAAAATAGAAAGACATATGTTTGTTATACAATTCTATATAATTGCGTTTATTTGCTTCTTTATTCGTTAATTTACGACGCCGAGATAAATTTTTGTTAGAAGATTTTATTTTTTCAAGAAGAAGTTGTTTTTATGATGATGATTATGATGACAATTATTATTTTTGTTTCTTTTTTAAATTAATCGCGAAATATTAAACGGATATGTTTTTTTTTAAGTGTTCGGGGTCTTACCTTAAGCGCTACACCATCTTCATCAGTCGTGGTATCGGTGGGCAACAGGTTCATTTGAAATACACGCTCTTATAGTGTTCACGACACAGCAGATAAAAGATCATTCAGAATATGAGAAGGATCATGTTATGCATCTATACACATAACATGATTCACCCGTCATCCTAAACTGTTAATCATAACTACTAACATTGGTCGCTGCATTTTTTTTTTTTAATCAGGCGTCAGTGGTATCTTCACTGAATCAAGGAAAGAAAACCACAAACACGCGATTCAAAATGATGTCCGTGGGGGTTTTGTTCGAGAAACCTTTAGAGGTCGTGACTTTTCGGTAGTCTGTAGCTACTAGCTTCGTGGAGAGCCACTTGACGTTTCCAAAAGAGTAATCAGAGGTTTTGACTCATCCCGTTAAACACTAAATGCACTGACATGAATATGACATGAACTGAGCTCGCGGGTAATTGACTCTGCTTTATATAAACTTACTAAACCTGAAAGTTTCGTCGGATGACATCGTGAAAACTACCATTTATACTTATATTAAACAGGTATTGCACTCCGTTTAACATCTTTTGTCAACTTACGTAGAGCTGAAGAGTAGCATGCATTTCTGCTATCGCTAATGTGCAAAAATGAAAGTCAATAAAACGCCGTATTTTCTTTTTCTTTCATTTGGGACCTAGATAGGATTCCGTTTAAGTTGCCGTCAGTTGAAAATAACGTGACTAAAATGAGAAATAGCTGCAACAACACTAGCACCACAGCAGACATACAAGAAATAAACAGGAACCTATCTAAGGACAACGAAGGGAAATCATTCTTTAAATAGGCTGACTGTTTTTTTTGTTCCATAAGCAGAGTGGGGTCGGATGGAGTTTCACACTGTGGCGGGGTGCAATGTATCATTGCAATGGTCACATCTGCAATAATGACACCGTGAAAGGATACGATGTAAGAAAGATTTAGTTATTTTTCAATAATCCCCGATTCTATCATTTAAAATAAGACTAACATTGTTTACGGTACCGTTTCACAACTACACATAATCAAAAATATAACTGATCTATGTGATAAAATGATTTTGTCTGATACAAGACAACAATCTTCGTTAGGTATATACTTCGTCCTCACGCTCTGAATGCGTGGCAAAATAGTAAGTTGCTGTTTCATTATGAAAGAAGGCACGCGCTCTCCTTTGTCTGTTTGTTTGTTTGACGGTCTGTCTATCTTCCTATTTGTTAATTTGTTGACTTATGAGCGGCGGGGAGTCTGCCCACTATTTCAGATGTCCCTGATCATATAATAACCCTAATATTTAAATTGCCATTAGATAAATGGGGATTGTATTTTTATATTGGGATTTTAACGTGTTTATTAAGATTTTTTTTCTTCATGTTTAATACTTTTCATTTAACATAGTTAATTCAAGCAGAGATTTATTGCATAGGCTTATAGAAATGTGATTCTTGTTATAAATACAAATTACTAGTTCCTGGTAAGCCTATAATTCTATGTGCTAATAAATGCTAAATTAACAAATATCAACAAACATACTTAACAATATTGAGATCAAAATATAGTTAATTGTACTGGCGTCACTGTTTTCGTGCCACACTGCACGTGGCAGGCAGTGGGTGAGTGACAGTGTGTCCTAAGTCGCAGGTGCTCCCTCGGAAACTGGAGAGACACACGGCAGCTCGCTCAGGCCCAGCCAAGCATGGATCAGAACGAGAGCTACGATTACTACTCATACTATAACGAGACAGACGAGTGCCAGGTGGAGCTAGGGGCGGTGCTGCCGCGCCTGCGCTCGGCCTTCTACTGCCTGGTCACGGTGGTGGGAGTGCCGGCGAACATGGCCTTGCTGCTGGCACTGTGGGCCAGGCACCGGGGAGCTGGCAAGCTGGGCTCCTCGCTGCAGCGCCACTCCTGGACAAACAGCGAGATTCTGGCTGCAAACCTGGCTGTTTCTGACCTGCTGTTCCTGGGTTCACTGCCGGTCTGGATCTACACCGATCTGAGCGGGGAGTGGAGGGGAGGGGTAGCTGGCTGTAAGGTGAGTGGAATGGACAGCACTGTTGCCTCCTACTCTCAGGGTTGGAGGTTCAAATCGCCCCTTCACTTTATCCAAAAATATGCATATGAATTGGAGCTGCCAAACTGGTTGTAGGTGCGAATGGTGTGTGTGCCCTGTGATGGGTTGGCACCCTGTCCTGGGATATTCCCTGCCTTGTGCCTGCAGCTTCTGGGATAGGTTCTGGACCCCTGCATAAGACAAGTGGGTGCATAAAATGGATAGATGAATATGGAGATCATGTTCCTGTCCATCTGTGGACGGCAACTGGGCTGGATCTCAAGCTCCTGTAAATACATATTTATCAAGGGGAAACTGCAAACTTATCGGTGTACGCCCTGCCCAATGTGTGTTTGTGGACCATTTTGTGTGCATGCATTCTTTCACATTGAAATTTGTGTAAATCTTGAGAAATCAGATCCCAGGACAAATGCGGAGCTGAACCCACAGCCGGTCTCCTCTTTACTTCAGGCAGTTCCCTACATCACCGCCCTGAACATGTACGTGGTTGTTTGGCTCGTGACCTTCATGAGCATCGACAGGTACTTGTGTCTGTTTTCCTAACCAAATGGGGACGTTTGTGAGTAAGAGTGTATTTTCAGCTTTAAAGTGAACTATTGTTTTAAAGTAAAATTGGCTGGCCCCCTGTCCAGGGTTGTTCCCTGCCTCGTGCCCATTGCTTCCGGGATAGGCTCCGGACCCCCGCGACCCAGTAGGATAAGTGGGTTGGAAAATGGATTGATGGATGGATGGATGATAAAAGTTGCTGTGTGAGCTGAGATATTGATGCGCCTGACAGGTTTCTCTCTCTCACCCTGCTGCAGATACCTGGCCATAGTGTGCCAAAGCCTCTACCGCAGAGTGAAGCAGCGCCCCCTGGTGGTGTGGGGTTGTGCGCTGACCTGGCTGGCATCTGCCCTGCTAGCACTGCCCGTCTTGCGCTCACGGATGCTGGAGCTGGACGAGCAACATGGCATCTCCTACTGCCGAGAAAAGGAGATTTCGCCGGAGATTCGCCTCTGCCTGATTCTGCTCACCTTCTTCCTCCCACTGTCTGTCACCGTTTTTTGCTACGGCTCCCTGGTCCGCGTGCTGTCCCAGCACTCTCAAGGCCTCACCCATGATCCCGCCCCTGGTCCTGGGCCCGCCCCACCGGGCCGCTCTGTACGGCGCTCCATGCGGGTCGTGCTTTGGGTGGTCACGGCCTTCATTCTCTCCTGGGTCCCTTTCAACAGCTTCCGCTTGCTGATGGTTGTGGGCCGCAGTCTGACCCCTGGGAGTGATGCTTCATGCTGGCTGCAATGGGTGGCGGCGCAGGGTATAGAGTGGACAGCCCCCCTGGCCTTCGCGAATAGCTGTGTAAACCCCCTGGTTTTTGGGGGTGTGAGCCATACGCTACTGTGCTGGGGCCCGGCTGCCCGCCTTCTTGGCCTCAGGAGCCGAGTGGGGGGGCAGTCAGGGGCTAGCTCCCATACCAGCCCCAGCTCCTGGGGAAGGGCGGAGTGATAGAAGGTGAGAAAGGGTGGGAGAGGAGTGAGAGAGGGTGAGAAAGGAGTGAGAGAGGGTGGAAAGTGAAGAGAGATAGTAGCAGATTCTGAAAAGACAGAAGACAAATATGAATATTTTATTTTCTTATTTCATTCTTTTTCAGTAAGTCGAAAGGGACCTGAAGTACAGCTGTTTTGCAACCTGCCCTTATGTACAGAGCTGGTAGAATAAATATTCCCCCACTGTAAATATGGATGCTTTTTATTCACAGATTGACACTGATAAACCCTCAGAGTGCAGCTCCTCATCCAGTGACTGACCACAGCTACTCAGGCACTAAGCCCCCATAGCTGTGACTCTCCCATGGCTGTGACTCCCCAATGGCTGTGACTCCGCCACAGCTATAATCCCTCCAGGGCCATGACTCCTCTATGACTTTTCCATGGCTGTGACTCCCCCCTTCCAGTTCTATCTAAATTCCCTACATAGCCTCTCTTTTGGTCATTTACTGTTCCTCATGGGGATTTAGAATGATTTGAGGCCTTGCAAAGGTTAGCGGGCATATATCTTTCAGTGCCCGTGTCTGGAAGGTCATGGGTTCAATTCCTGTGGCTGAATAGTAGTCATACCACCAGTGGGCCTTAAGCAGAGCCCTTAACCCCATCTGGTTCAATGACACTCATGTGTCCAATAAATAAATAAATGTGGAAGTGTGAAAATAGTGAGCTTTGATTCCTGGTGCAAAGACCTTAAATCCAAAAGCTCTAACAGGGTTTGTTAGGGTTAACTGAGCATCAGAGTGAGGCTGATCACCTGACACCCATGGCTCCCAGTCCTGCCATCCCTGACACACAGAAAACATGGCACCATTCAGTCCTCCAGCATGTTTAAAATGAGCTTTGAATTCTGATAGAGCCAGTATAACCCCCAGAACATGTGAGGAGGGAGTCCCCTGTGCGTGAGGGTGTGTTGTGCCCTGCGTGATTGGGGCATTGGGGCCAGGCTTTCGTTCTGAGTCAGGAGCGTGTGCCAGTGTGAACTCTGCCCTCGTCCGTGCAAATAAAGGAAACCGCAGTGGCAGTCTGAGAGACTTCCTGTGTGGAGGTTAGGTGACATATGCAAATGTGTGCGTGCCAGATAGCTTTCTGTGCGTATGTGTGTGCGTGCATGCATGCGGGTGTGTGTATGCGCATGGATGCGTGATTGCGTATTCGTGTGTGTGTGTACGTGAAAAATGCAATATGCACTGTAACATTTCACAAATGAACTACATGGGCATATTATACAAAAACACCACAGCCATATACCCAGACACACTAAACACTGGTTACAGTAGGGATATACAAACATGCAAAAGCACATACAGAGCAAGCCAGCACACACACTCACAGATACACTCACACACATTTCTATTCATATCTTTGTGAGGGCCGTGCATTCATTTCTATGGGCATAACCCTAATCCCAGCATGACGACCTTAAATCCTACCCAGCCCTAACCTTAGCCATAAGCAACCACACAAAAAATACAGGACCTTTGGCAGCTTCTGCAAGCCACAGAATTCAATCACATCATCGTGATTCTGGCTTTGGTTCTGCCTCAAAGGCCTCTTGGGTATAACTGCGGTGCCTGGTGCTGCGAGGCAGAGCAGAGGCGGAATGGAGGCAGAACAGAGGCAGAGTTCCATCCAGGTCCAGCATCAGCCCATTACAGGCTAGACCAGCAGAGCTGCAGTGAAAAGGCCTTTGTGACCAAATAAGAATGAGAAAAACGGCAGCATCGTTTCCAGTGAGTCGTTTAACTTAAGGTGGAATACACTGTGAAACACAAAGCATGTGCACAGGCATGGCATACAGTGCAAACAGAATACACTGTGAAACACAAAGCATGTGCACAGGCATGGCATACAGTGCAAACAGAATACACTGTGAAACACAAAGCATGTGCACAGGCATGGCATACAGTGCAAACTGAATACAATGTTTTAAATAAGTGACTGAATATAAGTAATGGGTAATACATGTGCATTTAAAAACAGATAGCGCCGGATGTTTACAGTGTTAAAGTGCTATGGCTGGGGAGGGGGTGTTGTGGTGCCTGGTGGTAGCAGGCAGGATCCCCACTGCATTCTGTGGCTTTAAAATCTTTTTGATTCCATTTTGTCAACACAGTTTTGTTAAAAAGTGCTCAGGGGCTCAGCAGTGAAACCACTCTCCTAAACCTGGGATTTGATCCGCTAACCTTCCGTTCAGAGGCACGCATCGGGGCAGAACTCTGCCACGCGCGATGCAGAGGAGAATTGTAAACGTGCGACTGTGTAGAGACAAAAATGACAAGCTGTTGTGTAAATAAGATAAATAACATAAGGCTATTTAGTTTGTTTAATAAAAGGACAACGTATAGACCTGTTCTATAGGAAAGGTAACCTTAAATGCCTTCTGTTGTGATCTGGCGCTATATAGAAAAAAAAATTAAATTAAATTAACTTGACCTTCAAGGGGGGGGCGGGAGGTGCCATTGGGGGGGCGGCGTGCCCCCCTAATATAATGGTAGGGGAAACACTGATGGATCCATTCCGTTGAATAATACTTTTTTAGTGAGCGGTTGGAAATGTTCAATTTCCTAGTTACGCATCAATTCATCGCGATTTGCGTTGCTACTTATAATTAATAATATTTAGAAGATACCCTTTTTTTGTTTCTGATTATCCATGCGCAGAGCACCGATATCTCCATGCATTTTGACCAATCAGGTGGTGGTAACGCAACTACCTCGGTCTGGTCAAGCTTTCGGCCCTGCAAGTAAGCAGTAGTAAGCAGAGCCATGTCAGCGCAGTTACGGCTCGGTTCCTGGCGGCAGCGGAAAACTCATTTATGAAGGCTTACGCACAGGTGCATCACTTTCCCACAGTGCATGTGTGTTTCACAGGGAAATTTACTTTATTGTTATTGCTGTAACCCTTATGACAGGGTTCTCCAAATCTGGACCTCGATTCCAAATCCAGGCCGTGTTTTCACTTCTCCCAGGTAGTTAGTTTAATAATTACTGATTCTGATTGGTTAGAGGCTTCACACCTGACTGACAGGTAAAGGAAGGCTGGAAAACCAGCAGTGCTCGGACCTCGAGGACCGTGATTTGAATAACCCTGCCTTATGATGATAAACTAAAGAACAGCCTGGGTTTAATCATGTGACAGGTGGTGTAGTCAAGTGTTTATGCTGTGGCACACACACCAGTTGAAAAACGCTGCCTTAAGTGAGCCGTGGCAGAAAAAAGGTTGGGAAACACCAATATAGTCCACTTGGGTTACTAGGCCTAAACGGGTTGACCAATAGGATGGTGCCTCCAGCAGGGATGGCTTGAACCACTGCTGGTGTTCAACAACCTCTCCTTTATTTTTATTTTTATCTGGTTCATAGAATCGCATTGTGGATCTCCAACATAGAGGCCGAAGGAAAAATATCAAGATTTTTGGTCTCCCTGAGGACCCATAGTACTCTCCTCAGGTGGGATTTGTCAAAAGCCGTCCAGCAAACGTTCTTCAACTGGAAGCTAAATGCCGCTGGTTCAAGCTGGAGAGGTGCCACCTCAGTCTGGCTCCCAAGCCGGCTCCTAACCGACCCCCACGCCCAGTGATTATTCCTGAGAAACAACAAGTTATGGATACGGTTGTTCAGAAGGGCTCGAGGGGAGAAAAGCTCACCTACAACAGCGTAACCATTTACATCTCCAAAGATGTGACTGTAAACCGTGAAGAAATGCAAGGCCTTCAGTGAGGTACAGGCCTGTCACAGAAAGACAGAGGGCACTAGATATGCCATGTTGTAGCCAGCAGCTCTGAGGATTACCCTCAAGGGGAAAACTACAAGGTATGACACCCCAGTGAAATCCATGGTGTTTCTCGCCACACTGGAGGGCCAGAAATCCAGTCGATGCAATTGGTTTGATTAAACGTGCTGTAATGTTTCTGCCCTGCATGGGAGTGAATACAGAGCCTCTTGGTTTGCTTGCTGTATTCTTTCTATGTTGCTAGTTAACTGCGTGTTTATCGAAGGAAAGGCGTTGACTTTCTAATGCGGTGTTGGGTTTAGATCAGCCTGCTCGTTTAGGTGAGTAGGTGGCCTTTTTTTATATATTTATCCCCTTGTGGTTTTCTGGGGAAGCCCCATTGCTAAGTGTTCAGTGGTTTGTTATTTGTGCCTCAGCCCAGTTACTGTAATTATTTATTTTTTATTACTTTCACCTGAAGAGTGGGGCAGCATGGGTACCACTGTTGTGTCACACCTCTGGGACCTGGGTTCAGGTTTCTGTCAGGGTTCCATGTGTGTGGAGTTTGCATGTTGTCCTGTGTCGTGAATTATATAGCTTTCTTGAAATCAACTCTCCATCCATTAACATCCCATCCTTGTTGAGGGAGGCTACTTTGTAACAGGCATAATTGTCACTTGCCTAAATGAGAATTAATTCCCAGAGCCAAGGTCCGAACAACAGGTTCCTTTATTAGTTTTGCAATACGCTAACACAGATAACGATTCTACTAGTGCTTCTCTTCTCGGTACCCCATTCTCCCGCTCTGTTGACGGGCAATCTCATATACCACTCCATTTCAACCAATTACCAAACAGGGGTGCGTTTCCCAAACAACGACGGAAGTTAGCATTAACGATGCATCGTACTATGGTAGTTCAAACTAACCAACATCCGAAGTACGACCGTTTCCCAAAACAGTTGGGACTACCGTAATCGAACTAACATGGGTCCAGCGCTGATTGGTCTGACTCACTGCGAGTCGTGCGCAAAAACTAACAAACTACTTTCACAGCCGGTCGCGTACAAAAACTTGCGAACTGTGTAATATCATATAAATATATAATAATCACACACGCATATATATCATCAATTTATTGTGTCAGTTACATAGCACCAATAATATGAAAAACTCAGAAATAGCAATAGCACCAAAATAATGCCACGCTTCTTGGAGTGGTAAACAGAACTTTTAGCTATGACAATGCATTTTGTGAAAGATGCTCCATCTGTAATTACATTGAAACACAATGAACTGCAATCAATCATACTATGAACACTTACAAATTCCTGGTCCGAAGTTGTCGCTTACATAATGTTAGTGGCTGTAGGATCACACATGCACATATCACAGGGCCTAAATTCCAGGTG